TCTAAGAACCCGGATAATCTCTCTTGTTTTGCCTTCATCAGGATAGTATCTTCCTCTTGCCTGCTCTTGATACTGCACCACTGTAATTAAGTTTTTGGTCCCTTGAAATATCAGAATACTGTGTTTTGGTGTCAAATCTGAAGACACCCAGAGTTAAAGAAAAAAAGTGGTCTCCTAAGAGCAGCTGGATTGTACCCTCATTCTGTGACTTTCTGCAGGCCTGTTAGGAGATTGACTGAGTTAACTATATTCTCGATGGTAAATCAAATATGTGCAGCTTTAGGTGGCTGATATTTCTATCACTTGTGACACTGGTGCTTCAGGGGGGAGAGGAGCGTTCTTCAGTAAAATACAGAATGCGGCATATTTCTGGAAGTCTCTTGTGATGCAGACTAACGAAGAGCATCAGTATGTTTGCCGCTGTAACCTCTCAGATATGTCCTCCTCTGTACTGTTTGCTTGTGGTAGGGATCATCTGGCAGCTTCTGGGCAGTGGCGAGAGCAGCCCTGAGAGTTTCCAAGACCCCCACCTAGAGACTATAGCGAAAATTGCATACACAAAAGGGAGGAAGCAAAAGAAAGCAGCACGTTCTGTAGATGCTCTGTTCCTATTGCAGCACTGAAGGACTAAAATAATCCTGTCTTGTAATTGTCACTGGTATTCTAGTTACCATTTGAAAGAAAAGACTGGCATTCATTTTATTTGGGAACAAGGGTGTTAACACAGATGAAAATACACAAGCGAATTAGTGCACTGCGGAAGATGAAATGCTTCCTCTGTCAATTCTCAAACACTATTAAATCCGCCCAGTCTAACACCAGTGCTTTGATGTCTGCCTCTTTCTTTGACCAAGGTATGGGAATGCAGTATTCTTAACGGTGAGTAACTTGATCTAAAATGCTTGATTAGTTGCTTTGCTTCTAGTACTTACTTTGTATAAATATGCAGCTCAGTACTACTTTCAGGTTAATAATAGGGAAGCTTTTTTTGATTACTTCTATATGTTTTGACCTTTCAGAATGAATAGTTTCAACTTGCCTTATAAGAGACAGGTTCCTTAGATTTGTTTTTCCTTAAAAAAATGAGTTTTACAGACTTAAAGGAGTCGCTAATTTCCTATTGAGGTTGCAAATAAAGATTTTTATTTTTAAATTTAAAACTAAAATATTGCAAGCAGTTTAAAATATGTCATCTTGATACTAGAAAAATAAAATACAAGTAGATCAAGCATTCAGATTTGGACTTGTCACCTTCAGAAGAGTATTTTTTGGAGGGCGTGGGGATGCTAGCACTAAAACTTCATTCACTGGTGAAGGTTTCATGCAGCTGATTCTATAACTAAACAGGAGCTGTGCTAGCTTCCTGGTCCCAAATCAGACACCACCCACACAATCCCATAAGGTACTAGGAATAGAAAGCAAAGTGAGAGATAATGTTTTGACCAGGAGACCCCTTCAGGCTACTGGATAGAATAGAGGTGATTTCTAGTATATACAGAACGTAAAACTGTTGTGGAAAAACAGGCAATTGTCTACGAAGCTTCTCTGCATGTATTTCAGACAAATTATGTTCAAGGACAATAGATGGACCAACAAATCTCAAGAAATTCAATTACAGTCCCCTAACTTAGAATTTCCTGGTGTTTGTTGCAGTATAACATGATTGTAAGGCTTTAAATATGGGGTCTTTATCCTTTTTTAGAATGGCAGTCAAATGTGCATTAATTGACATGACTCGCAAGTTTGGTCATTCCTATAAAAATACACTTGGGCTTGCAAAAATATGTATTCTGGTTTGAATGTGTAATAGTTTCAAAGCACACCTGGCCAAGTAAGAACTGAGACTGCTTTACTCATATCGGCTCTGGTCAGGTTCTAAAGCCAATTTTTACCTTTCTAACTTGTAGGTGGCTCCTTCTGACCATGGCTAGCTCAGTTGTTCGTGCAAATACTGATCGATCATTCAAAGTATACTTCATTCTGTACCTTTGTTGGTATTCAGTGAGGGATGTGAATGGGTAACTGGCTAACCAGTTCCCTAGTAAGCATCATCCTTACTGGGTAACGGTTAAATAGTTCTGGGATTTTACATCCCTAATTCAATGTTTACTGCAGCCACAAAGTATCCATTTTGACTTGGCATGAAGCTTTGATAAATATTTTCCTTTAATACTGCTTATTAGATCAGGTAGTTTTCTCAAACTTGCAAATGCTTTACATTGCCTCCTATCAATAATTTGCAGTAAGTATTATTTCCCTATTTTGCAGATGCAGAAATAGAGGTTCTAAATTTACTCTCCCCAAAATTAGAGGGCATCAGGATTTGAACTTGGGAATTCCTGACTCCTGCATCCACTCATCCTCCTCATATTTATTTGTATTACCGTAGTGCCTTGGAGCCCTGGTTATGTTGAGAATGCTAGGTGCTGTACAAACCATAAAAAGGCTTTTCCTGCCCCTTACCATCTAACTTGTGAAAGGTGTACATTGAGCACTATACTGCTATTTTGAAATCTTTTTTAAAAACTAATCTCAAACATCAGCATTAGTGACAGGCAAATATCAGTTTAGCCAGCAGTGAGGAGGAATGAATGGATGTTGTTACATTTATTTTTCTCCCTTTTAAAAAGTACGAAGGATAAACTTCTGTTTTGTTGATGAGGGAGTCAGAACATAGTATTGTCTCCTTAATGTTGTGACTATCGGTATATTTAGAAATAAGCGTACATCAGATCTACGTGTTTAACTTTAGGATCATGTTAGTAAGTAATTTCATCATCTCTATTTTCAATTCTCTAATATGCAGCAATGAACACTGCATGCTGGAGAGCAGCACTGAGCTCTGGATCTAACATTTTCTGTGCGTGCCAGAAGTCTGACTTTGCATCTTTTTTTCCTTGATGTTTTGCTGTTCATTTTGGCCTGTATCTTTAAGCTGTCTTCACATTGTTCAATTTTGAGACAGTAGTCATTTTGCAATTGCTGCATGTTGCAGTAAATACAAAACTGGATATTTTGGTAATGTCCACAAAGGGCACCACCCTTCTTTTTGGAATAACATCAGAAAGATCTTTTGCGTAAGATCCACCTTAGGCATTTGAAAAACATCTTCCTTCCAAAGTCAGAGAAAAACCATAAAATTTTCTATCTTCCTTTAAATAATAGCGACTTGGTACTTCTGGAGTCTGCTTTCTGTTCTTATAACCTGTATTCCTGACCTGTCTCTCTGCAGAAATCCTTGGAAGTTAAGACATACATGGAATATTTTGCTCAGTTGAATTCAGTATGCCAGGTAGCTCCTCAGAACTCTAAAATGTAAAACAAGAAAACAGAAAAGATCAAGCAACAGCAAAAAATTGTGCAGTGCATTGTACACAAGACTAAAGAAAAAAAGATGTTTTCTGTCTGAAAATAATATATGTACTTTCTGCTGCTGGAAGTTCTTATTTTTGTTGCTCCCTAATGAAGTGAAAAAGGGTCAGCAAATTAAATATATATTTACCATAGTATTGCCAGAATAAACTGAAATATCTCTGCTAGTTGAAGAATATAAATACTGTAGTTTTATGGAAAGTGTCATGTGCTTAAAAGTGAGTTCTTTAAATATGAAGTGTTTATAACCTAGTAAACATCTATATCTGCAGTAAAGGGCACATTTTGGTGCCCTCGTGTACTTATTCTGTATTTTCTGAAGACAATAGTCTGGGCTTGTTCATCTCCAGAATTCATCAAGAAAAATACATGTTTTTTCTGTATTATTTTTTTGATTATATCTTTGCTGACACTTCCTATAGTGTATTGTATATTAAAAATTAACCAGAATGAAAATGCTTTGGAGATTGATTGATTTGGATCAGGGGAGTAAGTTTAAAGGTTAAACTTGAATATTTTAAATTCTGAATGTTTTACATTCATTTTTAATTTAATAGCATGTCATGTGTAGGATTCCGGCACGCTAAAGAAATCTACAAACGTTTAAAGTGATTTATGCTTAGTTTTAATTTCTACAGATGAAATACATAATTCAGATGAAAACAAACATATTTGCATGTGTGCTAGGAATTAATACACATTGATGGGTGTGGGCTTAATTTTCATAATAGGTTCAACATTGCCTATTTTGCAAAAACCAGTTTATTTATTTACATATTGTAGGTTATATTCCATTCTTAAAGAGATGATTGGCAGAGATGAATACTCAGTATATAGAATTACAAAACTTGTCCACTCTCAAAGTGTGTGTGTGGGAGGGGAACTTAGTAAATAATTTTAGCAGGTAAAAACCCAATGTAAAATCTCTGACTACTTCATCAGAAAAGTAATGCCTCTATGTTCTTTTAATCATTGGAACTTGAGTGTTGTTTTTCTAGTTCTGCTTCCTTGCATTCCTCGGATGCTGAAGTTTGAGCATGTAAAACCTAGTAAAACAATCTTGCCTAAAGCGTTCAGATGTGTACATACACTCCTGAAGAGTCAAGCCTTGAGATCAGTATGGGTAAAAGGCATGTGTCCAGTTCTGCTATTAAAAATGAATGGCAGAAGTCTATGTGAAATTAGCAGACTGTGTATATACAATGTCAGTATTACCAGAGATATGAAAATAAATCCCTACTTCATAGATAGAGGTGGCCAGAGATTAAGGCTGTTTCTCAGTTTTCAATTATAGAGGACCAAAGACTCCTGAACCAGAGGCAGGAACATGGAATGCTTTTGAGATATTTAGCATCCGATATCTTTGCTATTCTATACCTTTTTTGATAAAGCAAAACCCCACTATTACTGGCTTTTTTTTGTGTGCGCAAACAATTTTGGACATCTGCCCTGCTGTGAGCACTTTATTCAGAGTAAGACTGATGTAGACTAAAAGGAGTCTTTTTCAAGCTGTCAGGAAAGATTTTTTGTTTGTTTGTACTCCATAACCATTTGTAATTTTCTTGACTTTTTGAATAATGGGTTGGAAGAAATGCTGACTCACGGCTTTTTTGTTTTTGGTTATGCAGCGGATATAATTTCTACAGTAGAATTTAACCATTCTGGAGAATTACTAGCAACAGGA